TTCTGGTTACGCCAAAAACGGAGCGCTCAGTGTTCTCCAGAGGACTTTAAGGCCACAAATAGTGACAACATTTGAATTGCCCGGTTGTACAGACATGTGGACTGTTTTCGGTCCCAAATCAAAGTCATCTCAAGAGAGTGCCGAGTCTTCAGAAACTGACATGAATTCAATGCACGCCTACCTTATACTGAGCCGAACAGACGCCACACTTGTTCTACAGACGGGTCAAGAGATCAACGAATTGGATCAAAGCGGGTTCAGTAGTCAAACGTCAACAGTATTTGCCGGCAATTTAGGCTCCAATCAGTACATTCTTCAGGTGTCACCGATGGGCGCCAGACTACTTGATGGCATCCGAGAGTTGCAACACTTCCCTTTCCCTAAAGACATCGGATCACCCATTTGTTACACATCTTTGGCTGATCCCTATGCTGTGCTTATGAGTGAAAATGGAGTTATTATTTTGTTGTGTCTTAAACATGACAGCGTCGGTGGAAATGCCAAACTTCTTGTCTCTCGTCCAGAACTGTCGACTGCAAAGTCAAAAATAATATCCATTTGTGTCTATAAGGACACGAGTGGTCTGTTTTCCACTCAGACTAAGGAACAGTTTAATCAAAACACAGCCAACAATACGAGTCCTATGGTTAAGTCGAAAACAGCGGCCACAGTGGCGGCACAGGTATCCGCTTTGCCCAACGCCTCTACTGTTGATGAAGAGGACGAACTACTTTACGGCGACTACACTATTGATGAGGCGCTCAAGACTGTCGAGAATAAAGATGAGACGGCGAGCCCAGAGTCGACTGAGACTAAGATCAAAGTGATTGAAACACACGAACCCACGTATTGGCTGTTTCTCGTCAGAGAGAACGGTGTTCTTGAGATCTATAGTTTGCCGACATTTAAACTCTCGTATTTGGTTAAGAACTTCCCGATGGGTCCCAAAGTGCTGGTCGACAGCGTTCAGAGTACAGACTATACTGGCGCTCAACAACAGCCAGACCTGCCCTCATCGATGCCAATGACTCGAGAGATTCTGGTGACGGGAATGGGAGCCAAACAGTCGCGTCCAATGCTTTTCGCGCGTTTCGACGACGAGCTACTTATTTACGAAACGTTTCCTTTCTATGAAACACAAGTGGAAAACCATCTGAAACTTCGGTTTAAGAAATACTTGAATCATAACATTTTGGTCAAAGAACCGAAGATATGCCGACAAACCAATGCTTTTGACTCAGAGAACAATGAAACGGAAAACACGTCGACTCTGCCGACGACGCGGATGTGGTTGCGATGCTTTCACGACATATCCGGCTATTCGGGAGTATTCCTGTGCAGTCCGTACCCGCACTGGTTTATTATGACATACAGAGGAGAACTCCGCATCCATGAGATGAGTATCGACGGAGCGGTCACTTGTTTCGCGCCCTTTCATAACATCAATTGTCCGAAAGGTTTCCTGTATTTCAATAACAAGGAAGAGCTGCGCATCTGTTCGTTGGCCACACATCTAAACTACGACAACAGTTGGCCGGTGCGTAAAGTGCCGCTCAGATGTACTCCACATTTCGTCAACTATCACGTCGACAGTAAGACCTACTGTTTGGTGACGAGTGCTTTAGAAGAGGTGACCAAAATTGTGCGAATCGGTGGCGATGAGAAAGATTACGACTTTCTCGAGAGAGACAACAGATATATCTATCCGATGACTGAGAAGTTTTCCATTCAATTGATATCACCGGTCAGTTGGGAGATAATCCCGTCGACTAAAATAGAACTGGATGAGTGGGAACACGTGACGTGTCTTAAGAATGTTATGTTGGCCTCTGAGGGCACAGAATCGGGTCTCAAGGGTTACATCGCTTTGGGAACTAATTATAATTACGGTGAAGATGTGACAAATCGCGGACGCATTTGGATTCTCGACATCATTGAAGTGGTTCCCGAACCCGGACTCCCGTTGACTAAGAATAAGATCAAAACCGTTTATTGTAAGGAACAAAAGGGTCCGATCACTACATTATGTCAAGTGAAGGGATTCCTATTGACAGCCATCGGACAAAAGCTCTACATCTGGCAGTTGAAGGAGTCGTCTCTTATTGGCATTGCTTTCATCGACACTCAGCTATACATTCATTCGGCCATATCTATCAAGAATCTGGTCCTCATTGCAGACGTCTATAAATCTATATCCTTATTGCGATATCAAGAGGAGACCCGAACCCTGTCTTTGGTGAGCAAAGACAGCCGTTCCCTTCAGGTGTTTGCCTGCGACTATGCGATCGATGGCTCGCAGATGTGTTTCGTTATATCGGATTCAGAGAAAAATATAGTTTTATATTCATATCAACCGGAAGTGAGAGAAAGTCAGGGCGGGACCAGACTTCTAAGGCGAGCCGACTATCACTTCGGTTCGCTTATTAACTCATTCTTCCGAATTCGCTGTAAAATACCCGCAAATATTACGGACATGAGAGTCAAACAACAGCTCCAGTGCCGACACATAACTATGTTTGCGTCGCTCGACGGAAGTCTCGGGTATTTCCTTCCGGTCACTGAGAAGACATACCGAAGACTATTGATGTTACAGAACGTACTGACTGTTTCGTTGCAACACTCGGCCGGACTCAACCCGAAGGCCTTCCGAATGATTAAGATTTCGAGACCAGAGCTCATGAATCCATCGAAGAATATATTAGACGGCGATCTTCTCGTCAAATTCGCGACGCTCTCTATGAACGAGAAGTCAGATTTGGCCAAAAAGATCGGAACCACTCCGAGTCAAGTCATGGATGACCTCCAGGAGATCGATAGAGTGAGCGCTTATTTCTAATGACTAGTGTTTTAAAGCATTATGTTTTTGACAATTATTTCTATAATGCAATTGTAATAATAAAAATCATTTGTCCGACACTTTATCACATGTCGACAAACACTTCATTTATTTTTAATTTCGGTTTAGTCTTTGATCTGTGGTGTGAACTCATCTTAAGGTTATATCCGTTCAGTTTATATATCCGTTGGTTGTGCTCGAAGGCCAAGACTGTGCCGTCTTTGGGAACCGCTGTCAAAGATTTCGCAATCAGATTATGTTTGAAAGCATAGCATAAAAGTAATTCTCACTCAGAAGTCGATTGTCTTTATTGACGATTTTGAACGTGTTTTTCGTTTCATTGACGACATATCCCTTAACGCCAACTAATGTCGGGTTCTTAGCGGCGGACACCACGAAGAAGGAGCCGTGGAAGTCGGCTCTAATCAGTTTGATTTCATCACTCTTCGACTTGATCTCATTCATCACGGAATCCATGTATTTATGCCACAAATGATTGATTTTGTCAAACGTCTCGTATTTGACATCATTTTTACTCAAATCAAACAAACTTTTCCTCTCTTTTGCCGTCAATTTGAGACCAAATTTGCATTTCTTTCGGCGTTTCCACTCTTTCTTCGTTTCAGTTGTCTTCCGGTTTTCATTCAACAGATATGTCGTAAACCGGAGGTCGCCTTCAGTGACACTTTTGGGCAAAACTTGGTTCACAAACGAGTCGATGATATCAGTGTCACTGCTTTGCTTCAAACCGATCCGATGGCCAACTGATAGCACTTCTTGTGGTAATGATTTGTATTTCTCTAAGCAATACATATCTTCACATATTTGACCACAAGTTTTGTCATCAAATTCAATCACTTTTCTTACCTTTCTTTGAATCCATTGTTTGATATGATTTTGAACTCAATTATAATTTGTATGAAATGTTCATTCAATTCATATCCATATAAATATGACAACAATTTAATTGTATTTCAAAATAACAACAAATAGTTTGAAAATGTGATCACAATATTCACATTTATTCATAAACAACGTTATGCTTTAAATTATTTTAAATGTTACAAAAACTTTAAAACTTTAAAACTTATTATCATAACTTATTAATCATAACTATAATTAAGTTAATAGTTACATTAATAATTAATAATTAGTTTGTTTAATAAGTTATTAATAATCAATAGTCAATTAAATGGGATAATAAGTGAAAGCATTAATGGTAACGTTATATAATTATTTTTATAATTTGAATACATTTGTTAATAACTTTTAAATTGTTTAATGAAAATAATTAGTCAGTCGTAAGACTAATTCACTGTTCACTCACATCAATAGCTCTCATGTGTTATTGATATAAATTATTAGGTATTGTATATCTTTTTTAAGTATTTGATTGATTCAATTATAATAAAATTTCAGAAATTAAAATTAAAACTTTGTATTTCGGTGAATAAAACTTGTACTGTAATACTGTACCTATCATATACAGTAAGATCACATACCTAAGGTAGCACACATAAGGTAGCATACATTATATTAAGTATTTATAAAAAGTATTGCCCCTTCAATAATTTCCACTCCATTTATAAAATAATTATATTTGTGTATGAGTTTTGAAAATGAGATTACAAATGTTGTAATATGACCAATAGTGGCCAAGATGCTACATACTGGCATACAGTGATTTGTGATTTGAATGCTTGACAAGTGAGTTATCAAGTTATGTTTGTATAAAACATTTGGAAAACATAAAAGTTTTGACCGTAGTTACGGTCATTTAAAACAAATAAAACTTCAATTAATAGTCGAAAATATTTGTTACAATTATTTATATAACTATTTTACGTTAATTTGTGTTATTTATTTTTAAATTTTTATAGTTTTAACTTAAAATATACACATAACACATAACAATTCAAAAGTTTAGTTTAAATAAATTCTTATAAATTATATAAAAATTGCAAGTATGAGCATGGTACAGTACAGTATTAAATAGTGTGACACTTGTCATAATGTCATTATAAGCTAATCATTGCTTTTCATTATTTTCTTCTTAATTGTGAACAAAATGTCTTGAATTTTGTGGATATCACTGATGAGATGAGATCTCTTAAAGCAGAGCTCATGTATTGATTGAAAACTCGTTTTAACGAACAGATCATTGTTGTGGTCGTAAAACAGTCCCAAACCTATCATACGATAGACGGTTCCCATGAAGAATATATTGCGACAAACCCTCATGAGATCGTCATCGACGGCATCGATGGCAC